ACTATGAAGACAACAATATGCAATGTATTAATTATTGTAATATTGTACTAACCTGTTTTGAAACTGTCTCATTGCTATTTCTTTCTCAATAAAATTAAAGAAAAAAAATTTTAAATATCAGAAAGCAGTAAAGAAAGTAAGTCTTTCAAGATATGTGACAACCCGGGAAGAAGAGGGACGTGGGGATGGTCTTCCCGGGACAGCGAGGATGCTAGTGCACAGGCTGACAGAAAGGACCTCCCCGCACGCCAGAGCGGATACGACTGCACTTAAACTGCAAGTGATGCTGAATCCCCGCCCGCATCGGAGTCTAGCAGCTTCGAGTGTGCGCACGCATCTTTGTCCTCAGGACCCTCCACACAGCACAGACCCGCTTCCCAAGCGCCTCACTTCTAGGGCCCCGTGTCTCTGACGGGCAAGGATTTGAGCCAAATGACGGGCTCGTGTGTCTACTCATTAGCCTCTGTGCGCGCTGCTTTCCTTCAGGTAATTACGTGAAAGAAAAGACCTGTAAGCCCAAGTTCTCATTAAGGAAACACTGAATCAAATAGAAATTAAGTCCTGCCTAAGAGCTGCAGTCCTGGCATTGTCGTCAAATAATCTATTTTTGCCAAAGCAATGAAAAGCCTTTGAAGATAGGTAAAATTCATTGTTATCTTTTGTTTTAGTTTTTCCTTCCTCTGACCAAATTATACTAATGTTGTTTCTAAACAGTTCTATCCTCAGAAATGTTTTTGCTACTTAAAGATTACTTGGATGAAATAAGCCTCTGGAGAAATCCTTTTTTAAAACCCCTCTTTGCCATTTAAGATATAATTCCAGAAAAGACAAGGAAACTCAAAAGCCCATGCTAAATGAAACTTGAATAAATAGAATTACAAAGTGGTGATTTTGCTGAGCCATCCGGAGCCTCCTGTCACGCCTTACAACACAATCTGCACAATAAGTGAATGTAGCAGGCGAAGGCAATGATATCAGGGCGAGTTTATTTTCTCTAGCAACTTAATGCCTCTTCTGTTGGAAAAGTAACACTTCTGACAAGGCTTCAAGATTCAATTTGGAAAAGGTAATACATATGTGGAGAAGCCTGTGAAGCTGTTTGTCCATTTCTTTCAGCTTACCTTTCCTTATTTTGGAGTACAGGTCGACCTGAAAAGTAAAGAACCCCGCAGTGGTGAAGAGGAAGCCATCTAGTGTGGAGGGAATTATGGCTTCAACTGTAAACACCATCTTACGCCAAGAACCATGAAACATTTCACACGGGTAACTCCTTTCATTTGCTCATGGCAGGTAAAAAGCAGAAAGACAGAAAGTCTAGAAGAAGCAAATACTTGCTTCGTGGGCAAGAATGCCAAGGCCAGTGGAAATCGCCACTTATCCAAAGTTCTTCAACAAGTCCAAGTCCCACTTATCACAAACCCAAGAATCATTTTTCCCACATCCATCTCCTCCTATGCTTAAAAGACATGCTGTAACCTTGAAAAGCTCTGTCTCAAACTGAGCTACAAAATTCCTCAACACCGTATGATAACACCAATCTAAGAAATAATGAAGTCAGGTGGGACAATGTAAGAGGCTCCTCCACTTCCTCTCCTACACCATCAGAACAACCACACCCATGTGTACTAACAGGAAGTAGTTTCAGGTACAGAGTAAACAACTCTGGTGTTCTCTCCATCCCTCCCCTGCTTGTTCCATCACTTCTGCTGGTTGTTTTGTTTTTAGGCTGTACAACGAGCTGAAGTGGACTTAAAGAAAAACTCAGCAACTGAACAAGGAGGGCCCACAAGTGTGGAAGAAAAATGAAGAAATTGAATGAATTACC